CCCACCGCCCCCTTCCTCCGCCCAGCCCGCCAATGCCGAACCGACGCCCGACCCGACTGTCGCGCAGATCGAAGCGAGTGTTGACGAGTTCTTGGAGATCGTCGCCGACCTCTTCAAGAACATGGGTAGCGTCGTCGAGGAGACCTTCCGGGAGGCGACGAGGCAGACTCGCTCACAGGCGGGTCAGGCAGCAGCAGACGCGCAGAGCCCGTCGTCAGGCGGACCACCGTCGCTCGAGGGAGAGGGAGGTGCCGGCAACCAGCCGGTCGTCTACGCGCCGGCAATGCGCAGCTTCAAGTTGCTGCAGGACTGCCCCGCCTCGATCGTTTTCATCTTCCAGACCTACCGCCCGCTCGTCAACAAGGCCATCACCATCTTCGTGCCTCTTGTTTTCGAGGTGCGTGCAACTGCTTCTCCCCCCTCGCTTCCTTCGCTCACGCTTGTCGCTTCTCGCAGTTCATCCAAATGCAGGCGGAGCCGCAGCGGCGCAAGCACGAGTCGATGGAGCCTGGCAAGTCGTGGGTTGGCATCTGTCCCGAGATCCCGAAGGACAAGCGGGGCGCTTTCCAGGACATGGTCATGGCGCAGACGAAGGTGCGTCGCGGGCTTCCGTGTCTCCTACGGCGCCAGGCTGACCACGTTGCTTCCGCAGACCATGTCATTCCTCGCCTATATTCACCGCGTCTCGAACACTGCCCTCTCGTCCTACCTGAACGTCCTGCCCCAGATCGCCGTCCGACTCATGAAGGACTGTCCGTCCGAAGCCGTCGCCATGAAGCGCGACCTCATCATCGCGACTCGCCACATACTCCAGAGCGACCTCCGCACCGCCTTCCTCTCGCAGATCGACACTCTCCTTGACGAGCATGTCTTGACCGGCAACTCTGTCACCGGCCACGAGAACCTGCGACCACTCGCCTTCTCCATGCTCGCCGACCTCATCCACCACTGTCGTGCCGACCTCACCCTCCCCCAGCTCTCTCGCGTTGTGCACACGTACTGCGCAAACGTGCACGATCCGACACTCGCCTCGGCCATCCAGACGATGTGCTCGAAGCTCCTCCTGAACCTGATCGACCCGATCGCGAGCAAGGAGCCGCAAGAGGCCGTCAAGATCCTCCAGCGCATCCTGCTCGCGTTCGTCAGCCGGATGGAGGCGATGGCCGAGGTGCGGGACGAGTGGGCCAAGTGGAGCAAGACGCGCGAGCCGCTGCCAGCCACGATGGACAAGGTGCGCGAGAGCGAGAAGGAGCGGCGTGAGTGGGAGAAGCGGCAGAAGGAGAAAGGCATGGGCAAGGCGGACGATGCCGATGCAGATGGCGACCATGCGATGGAGTCCGCAGGCGGCGCCGACGCGAAGGACGACGAGAGCGCCAAGGACGAGACGAAGGAGGAGGGCGACAAAATGGATGTCGACGGTGCGGACGAGAGCGCAGAGGCGAAGGTCGAGAAGAAGAAGAAGGATGCGGATGCCGAGCCGACGCTGCTCAAGCTCGACGACGTCGACATCGAGCGCGCCAAGCCGATCAGAAAAGCCGTTATCATGGTCGATCCAGGTCCAGATCCCGTCAAGGACGCCCGCTTCCTCTTCCGCAACCTCCTCTTCGGCTTCAAGACGCTTAGCCTCGCGCTCAACCGCATGGGCGGCCAAGGACCGGACGCCGAGCTCATGTGCCGCTTCTTCGACGCCGCCGTCAAGTGCATGGTCCTCTTCGACCCGGCGCGGGACCAAGGCCGCGAGCAGAAGGAGGTCATGGAGGTCTTGACGTCGACGCTCGTCCAGACGGAGCTCGTCATCTTCCAGGAAGTCGTCGAGAACCGCATGGGCTTCTTCTTTGACGAGTTGATTCGGGTGCGCACGCGTTATCTCCAGCCATTCACGGTCGGTACTCACCAGCCCTCGCGCAGAACCACGAGCTCCTCGTCATCCCGCAATCGCTCCTCTCGAACGAGAACGTCTCGCAGCATTTCGTCGCCATCCTTTTCCGCTTCCTCTCGTCGCGACTTCCCGAGCTCGGCAACAGCAACAAGGAGAACACCTCGGTCATGCTCCGCCTCTACAAGATGTCGTTCATGGCTGTCACGATCTTCCCCGAGAAGAACGAGCCCGTCCTCCTGCCGCACCTCTCGAACCTCATCATGAACTCCCTCAAGCTTGCGAGCCAGGCGACCGAGCCGAACTCGTACTACCTCCTCCTGCGCGCCCTCTTCCGCTCGATCGGCGGCGGTCGATTCGAGATCCTCTACAACGAGGTCCTGCCCCTCCTTCAGACGCTCCTCGAGCAGCTCAACGCCCTCCTCAAGTCGGCCGACAAGTCGCGCAAGGACCTCTTCGCCGAGCTCATCCTCACCGTCCCCGTCCGCCTCTCCGTCCTTCTCCCGTACCTCAGCTATCTCATGCGCCCGCTCGTCCACGCCCTCCAGGCCGGCTCCGAGCTCGTCAGCCAGGGTCTTCGAACGCTCGAGCTCTGCGTCGACAACCTTACGCAAGAGTTCCTCAATCCGCTCTTCGCCCCCGTCATCGACGAGGTCATGGCCGGCCTGTGGAAGCTCCTCCGCCCTCTGCCGTTCAATCACCAGCATGCGCACACGACTATGCGGATCCTCGGCAAGATCGGCGGCAGGAACCGCAAAGGCTTCGAGCCGCCGAAGCTCGAGTGGAAGAACGTCGGGACCGAAGCCCTGCTCAATGTCAAGTTCGAGGGCAAAGACGCCGCTATCCGCATTGGTCCGATTGTCGACGTTGCGCTCAAGATCATCCGGCGAGGCGATGTGCACTACCGACGTGTCGCGTACCAATTCCTCAAGTATTCGGTGGCCGTCTTCCTCCGCGAGGTACGTACACTCGCTTAAATTGCATTGTTCAGCGCTGACCGGCCTTAACAGGGTCTGCTGCCTGGCGAACCGGAGGAGACGTTCGGCAACGTCCTCAAGGGTCTTTTCGATGCGACTCGCGTTGACGACTTCCACGAGGAGGCGAACAAGTACATGATCGATCTCGCTCGCGTGGTGTTCGCCTTCGAACTCGGCAAGGAGATGCCCGAGAACCCGAACCTCGCCCGCCAGACCCTGCCGCTGTCGTCCGCCTTTGTCGACGGCGTGATCGAGAACCTCTGCACCGTCGAGACGCCGGACATGACTAAGGCGGCTGCGCAGACAAAGACGATTGTCGAGCAGCTGCTCGCGAAGCGCGAACCCGGCTCGACCTCGTGCAACAAGCCCGATGCGCCGACCGCCTTGCTCCATCAGATGGGATCGCGCCTCGCCTCGCACTGCTACGATCCCTCGTGGCAGCGCAAATGCGGCGCCGCCCGCGGCATGCTCATCCTCATCTCCGAGGTCGGCGTCGAGACCAAGTGGATCATCGAGCATGAGATTGAATTCACCCGCGCGCTTCTGTTCGCCCTGAAGGACATGCCTGGCGAGTCGCCTTCGAACGCAGACATGGTCGTCGATACGCTCCTCACCCTCGTCAGGGTGTGCAGCACGCCGGTCACGCCGGAGGACAAGGAGGCCGCACGCGTTACGCTCAACTACCTCGTCGGACTCCTCCTTGTCGAGGTCAGCAGTCAGGTTGCGCCAGTCCGCGATGCGGTCAAGCGCGCGCTCAAAATCGTCTCGGACAACGAGGGCAAGCCGCTCACCGAGATGCTCACGCCCGTCAAGGACCGCCTCCTCGGCCCGATCTTCACGAAGCCACTCCGCGCCCTCGGTTTCACGATGCAGATCGGCCACATCGACGCCGTCACGTACTGCATCACTCTCGACCCGCCTCTGATCGAGGTCGATGACCAGCTCGTCCGCCTCCTTCACGAAGCCCTCGGTATCGCCGATGCAGAGGACGTCGCGCTCCTCGGCGGCAAGGTGACGCACAAGACAATGGCGCCGCTCACGCAACTTCGCGTCGTCTGCGTCCAGCTCCTGTCGGCAGCGTTGGCGAATCCGCAGCTCAATACGCCGGCCTACAATCAGACTCGCATCCGCGCCCTTTCCGTCTACTTCAAGCTTCTCTACTCGAAGGCGCCCGAAGTCGTCGACGCCGCGTACCACAGCCTGAAGCAGGTTATGCTCGCGCAGGGCAAGCTCCCGAAGGACCTCTTGCAGACCGGCCTCAAGCCGGTCCTCATGAACCTCGCCGACCACAAGAAACTCTCGGTCGCCAGTCTCCACGTGCGCTTGTCGACTTTCCCGCTGCCTGACCGGTATGCTAACGCTCTCTGGGTTCGCAGGGCCTCGCACGCCTCCTCGAGCTCTTGACCAATTACTTCAAGGTCGAGATCGGGCAGAAGCTCGTCGACCACTTCCGCTCGCTCGCCATCCCCGCCGACATCCTCCGCGCAACCGCCAAGCAGCCGTCGGAAGACGGCGAGCTCGAGGTCATGGCTGCGATCGTCAACATCTTCCACCTCCTCCCCCACCCTGCCGCCGGCATGTACCTCGAGGACGTCGTCGAGATGGTAGTTAGTGTCGAACGGCTGCTCAAGAAGCTGAAGACGAGCATCTTCACCGCGCCGCTCGCCAAGTTCCTCGCGCTTCATCCGGAGAAGACGACGCTCTTCTTCTTCGGCCGTCTCGGCGAGGAGCGTTATGTCCCGACATTCCGCGCGATCATCGCTGCCGAGCAGTCGCAGCCAATCCGCGACTACATCTCCGACCACGTCCAGGACCTTTTCGGCCCATGCTTCGACAAGGACGGCGACCTCGGCTACCACACAGCCATGGTTGTTCGCGAGCTCATCTCGGTCGACAAGCAGTGGATCGGGCGGTGCGAGGCAGTCTTGCCGATCCTCATCACGCGGTGGGTTTCGGACATCCGACGAGGTCGCCTCAAGCGCCAGGGCATCCCGCACGTCCAGCAGCTCAAGGAGGACCAGGTCGTCGTCGAAGTCTTCGTTGCCTACCTCGAACAAGCGGAGCACATCGACCTGCTCTTCCACCTCGTCGAGGCGTACACGTACCTCACTTCGGCCGACCACACCGCGCTGTCGCGCTTCCTCACCCGCCACGTCGCTCTGAACGAGAACGTCGCCTTCCGTCGCCAGATCCTCGACCGCTTCCTCGACATCTTCGACAACGAGAACGTGACGATGCCGCACAAGAGCGCTGCGCTGCGACTTCTCGTGAACCCGATCCTCCTCGTCTCGTACTCGCGCGGCGAACGAGAGCAGGGTCTGATCAGCGCGGGCTGGATCGCCAAGGTCCATGCGAAGGTGTGGCATCCGTTGCTGGTCGCACCGCCGGACCTCGGCACCCTCGACGAGGAAGAACTCCGTGTCGAGCTCTGCCACATGACGACGCTGCTCATCCGCTCGTCGCCTTCGCTCCTCGACTCGGTCAAGAAGGACGTGATCAAGTTCGGATGGATGAGCATCCGCTTCGACGACATCAGCGTGACGCAGACGGCGTACATCCTCATAGCCACCTTCCTCGCCGAGTACGAGTCGCCGGCCAAGATTGTCGGGCAGATCTACGTCGCGCTCCTGCGCGCGCATCAGCCCGAGGCCCGCAACCTCGTGCGCGAAGCGCTCGACATCCTCGCACCGGCTCTTCCGAAGCGCATGCCGGGCGGAACGACCTCGGCGCCGGGCCAGATTCCCGGCTGGGAGTACTTCACGCGCAAGACGCTCATCGAGGAGGGCTCTACGATGCCGCTGCTCGTCAACATCTACCAGCTCATCGTCCGCCATCCCGACCTCTTCTTCGCCTCCCGCGAGCAGTTCTTCCCGCACCTCGTCGCCTCGCTCGGCAAGTTGACGCTGAGTACGACGATCACACCCGATACGCGAGTCCTCACCCTCGACGTGATCGAGGTGATCCTGAAGTGGGAGAAGAAGCGTCTGGATTCGATGAAGCAGGACGAGGGCAAGGCGGAGAACGACGACGACGCAGAAACCGCCGACCGCTCGCCGAAGCGGGCCAAGACGGAGCGCGGCGCGTCGACTGCGCCGTCGGCAGCGAGCAGCGGAGCTGGCGCGACCTACGTCCCGCCTCCGTCTCTTCGCGACCAGGTCGTCAACAACCTTCTTCGCTTCATCTCGAATTCGCAAGAGCCTGTTCAGCGCAATAACCTCGTCTACCGCGCGCTCGCCTTGCTTCGGGAGCTCATCGGACCGAGCGTCTGGGGCGAGAGCAACATCAAGTTCTCGTTCTTCCAGCGCACTTTCTCGACCGACGTCACGGAGGAGACGCTCGGGCAGATGTGCAACTCGGCGGAGATCCTCAACGTCGTCAGCTCGTACAAGCCCGCCGACTGGCACGTCCAGAACATCGCCGTCCTGCACGGCATCGTGGAGAAGGGCTTTACGAGTGGCGAGATGCGTCTCACGTCGAGCTTGCGTCCCGTCGTCGAACGTCTCTTCGACCACCTCCCTCGCAACGTCACGCCCGACTCGACAGACGTGCCGGCGCCAGCCAAGGCTTACATCGAGTGGGCGCGCTCGACCGTCGAGGAAGGTCTGCGTGCGATGACCAATTTGCCCGCCGTCATCCTCATCCTCCAGTCGTGGTCGAAGGTCGAGCCCGAGCGCATTGACGCTTTCATCCCCGCGCTCGTCCGCGTCTTCACACGTTACCTCAAGGAGCACACGGCATCACCGACAGTCGTCTCGTCCGTCGATCCGAATCTCCGGCTCCTTGTGTCGAGCCTCGACGTCCTTCGCCAGCGCGTCTCGCACCTCGGCGAGCAGCGTCGTTGGTTCCTCAGCGGGATCGTGCAGCTTGTCGAGAAGTCGTCGAACATCGACGTCTGCCGCTTCCTTCTGCAGATGGTTCGCAAGTGGGTCTTCGACAAGGACGAGCCGTACCCGACGCTCAAGGAGAAGGCCGGCATCCTGTCGAAGATGACGTCGTTCGAGAACCGCAACAGCGAGGCGCTGCAGAAGGATTTCCTCAATCTAATCCTCGACATCTACACCGACACGTCGCTGGCGCGCAGCGAGCTTACCTTCCGCCTCGAGCCGGCCTTCCTCATGGGCTGCAAGGTCCGCGACCCCGTCATCCGGTCAAAATTCCTCGCGACCTTCGACAAGAGCTTGGCGACCGGGCTCTTCAGCCGACTGCACTACATCATCGGCGTTCAGTCGTGGGAGACGCTCAGCGAGACGTACTGGATCCACCAGGCACTCGACCTCCTCCTCGGCGCAGTCGACACGAAGGACCCGCTCTTCGTGCCCGGCTCGTACCTCACCTCCGCCAAGGCGCCTCCGGTCGACTTCATCAAGCAGCTCGAGACGTACACGACCGGCGAAGTCCTCGCGGCGGCTCGCAAGCTCTTGTACGCAGACCCGAACGCGACGCATGCGACTTGGGTCTCAACGTTCAAGACGGGATGGTCGTGCTTGTCTCGCTCCGAGCAGCGCCACCTGACCGAATTCATGGTCGGCCTGCTCGTCAAGGTCTACCACTTGCGCAGCGTCGACCGCCGGCCGAACGTCATTCAGACCCTCCTCCAGTCATCGTTCGCGTGCTCCCCTCCCCTCGTCCTTCCGCCTCACGTCGTTCGCTACCACGCCCGAACCTTCAACGCTTGGTACACCGGCATCGAGCTGCTCCAGGACACGCTCGAAAGCCCGCGCGAATCCGACTCGGCCAAGGAGACGGCTATGGACGCCCTGACCGAGCTGTACGCCGAGCTCAACGAGGACGACCTCTTCTACGGTCTGTGGCGTCGTCGTGCCGCTTACAACGAGACCAACGCAGCGCTCAGGTGCGCTCGAGCGGTGCCATTCATCGTCGACGAAATCATGCTGACTCCTCCCACGTCTTGTAGCTGGGAGCAGATCGGCCAGTGGGCGCAGGCGCAGGTCCTCCACGAGTCGGCGCAGATTACGGCTCGCAGCGGAGTTATGCCGTTCACCGAGAGCGAGCTCGCGCTGTGGGAAGACCACTGGATCATCACAGCTCAGAAGCTGCAGCAGGTTCGTCCGCTTCGGCCTCTCTCGCCTTGCGCCGAGACTGACGTTGCCTTTCTGCCGCAGTGGGACGTTCTCTCCGAGTCAGCGGCTTTCTCTGACATAACTCTCGCAGAGACCCACACTGACACCTCCGCTCGCAGCATGGCCAAGAACGAGGGCAACAAGGAGCTCCTCCTCGAGTGCGCCTGGCGTCTCGCCGACTGGAACCAAGAGCGACCGATGATCGAGAACGCTCTTGAGACGATGTCGCCGGTCGGCACGCCTCGCCGCCGAGTCTTCGAAACGTACCTTGCCCTGCTCGCCGCCTACTCCGCCAAGACGCCGGAAGAAGCGACCAACGCCAAAAAGATGTTCGCCAAGCTCTGCGACGAAGGCGTTCAGCTCTCGCTTCGCAAGTGGTACTACCTCCCCGAGACGGTCACGCAGGCGCACTACCCGCTCCTCCAGACCTTCCAGCAGTTCGTCGAGCTGCAGGAAGCGCAGCAGATTTTTGCGAGCCTCGCGGGAACGAACGCGGCGAACCTCGATACGCGCTCGAACGAGCTGAAGAGCATCGTCGGAACGTGGCGCGACCGTCTCCCGAACCTCTGGGACGACATCAACGTCTGGTCCGACCTCGTCGCATGGCGCCAACACGTCTTCTCGGCCATCAACAAGGCGTACCTGCCCCTCGTCCCTGCCCCGAATGCGCCCGGCGGTCAGCAAAACGCGAGCTCGTTCGCCTACCGCGGGTTCCACGAGACCGCCTGGATCATCAACCGCTTTGCGCACGTCGCCCGCAAGCACCATCTCAGCGACGTCTGCATTACGTCGCTTACCAAGATCTACACGCTGCCGAACATCGAGATCCAGGAGGCGTTCCTCAAGCTGCGCGAACAGGCCAAGGCGCACTACCAGAACCCGTCCGAGCTCGCGAACGGCCTCGAGGTCATCAACAACACGAACCTCATGTACTTCAACGGCTCGCAGAAGGCCGAGTTCTTCACGCTCAAGGGTATGTTCCTCGCCAAGCTGCACCTGCACGACGAGGCGAACCAGACCTTCAACCTCGCCGTCTCGATGGACATGAGCTTCCCAAAGGCCTGGGCCGAATGGGGCGAGTACCACGACCGCATGTTCAAGGAGAACCCGGCCGACCTCAACATCGCAGCGAACGCCGTCAGTTGCTATCTCCAGGCAGCCGGTCTCTACAAGAGCGCGAAGGTCCGCAAGCTCCTTGTCCGCATTCTCTGGCTCCTCAGCCTCGACGACGCCGCCGGAACCGTCTCTAAGGCGTTCGACAACTACAAAGGCGAGATCCCAACCTGGTACTGGATCACCTTCATTCCGCAACTCCTCGTCACGCTGTCAAAGTCGGAGGCGCGCTACGTCCGCGTCATCCTCCTCAAGATCGCCAAGACGTACCCGCAGGCGCTCTTCTTCCAGCTCCGAACGACACGTGACGAGCTGTCGCTCACGAAGCGGCAGTGGCAGCAGGCGGAGGCGGTCCGTCTCCAGGCCGCCAAGCGCGCCGCCGAGGCCGCCGCTGCAAACGGCGAGCCGGCGCCTGCCGAGGGCGATGGAGCAGCGGATGGTGGAGGCCAGACGCTCGTTACGCCTGGCGGGACGCAGCTGTCGACCGCTCCGTCGAACCAGCGTCAGCCGTGGGACTACATCGACGAGATAATGGCGGTGCTCAAGACCGCCTTCCCGCTTCTCGCGCTCTCGATGGAAATGATCGTCGACCAGATCTCGACCCGCTTCAAGCCGGCTGCCGATGAGGACATCTACCGCCTCATCAGCGCTCTTCTCGCGGACGCCTTGCAGGTGCGTCCGCCTCGTTCCGAGCTTGAGTGTTAGCAACCGGGCTCATAATGCCTCCTCTGCAGCAATACGTCAACCGTGCACCGTTCCCGACGGACGACGGCCTGCTCACTCAGGCGACCAACGGCAACATCGCGCGATTCGCCGAGTCTCTGCACTCTTCGCCCGTCAAGGTCAGTCACGGTACCGTCTGTGTGCAGGACGGAGATACAGACCATTGACGCGCCCCGCTTCGCTCGCAGGAGCAATTCGTCAAGGACTTCCTCACGAGCAAGCCGACCCTCCGCGAGTACCTGCAGCGACTGCAGGGCTGGCGCGACCGTTACGAGGCCGTCCTCAACAAGAAGGCGAAGCGAGCCAACCTCGAGGCGTCGTCGCACTGGCTCGTCGAGTTCCAGTACCAGAAGTTCGACGAGATCGAGGTTCCCGGCCAGTACCTCCAGCACGAAGACTCGAACAACAACTTTGTCCGCATCAGCCACTTTGCGAACAAGTACGACGTGCAGCGCGGCAGCGGCATCTACTTCCGCCGCCTCACCATCCTCGGCCAGGACGGCAGCATCCACCAGTTCATGATCCAGCTGCCAGCGCCTCGAACGTCCCGCCGTGAGGAGCGCATCATGCAGCTCTTCCGCATGCTGAACTGGTGCGTGCAGCACCTTTCGACGCAGATGGTGGTGCCATTGCTGATCCGCTCCCTCCTGCCGCAGCACGCTCGCGAACCGCAAAGAATCGCGCAAGCGGAACTTGCAGTTTACGGTTCCGATTGTCGTCCCGCTCTCGCCCGGCGTCCGCATCGTTGAGAACGACGCCTCGGTGACGACGCTTCAGGAGATCCTCGAAGACCACGTCGAGTCGATGGGCTTGCGCAAGGAGGACCCCGTTCTCGCCTTCACGGAGCGCATCCGCACTCTTCACCGGCATGAGCCGCCTCTCAGCGTGCGTTCATACTGCCTAAACTCCATGTTCGTGCGCTGAAACTAATCGGTACTCGCAGCGGACGGATATCTGGACGGCGCGACAAGAAGCTTTCGAGGAGCTTTCCGTCAAGATGACGCCGGACGATGTCCTGAAGAAGGCGAGTTGGCGCATCTCCTGGTTCAAGCTTCTCTCAAGCTGACGCGCCGCTCCTACAGTACATGATCAAGTCGATGGCGTCGCCGAACGACCTCTGGCACCTTCGCAAGCACATGACGACCTCGCTCGCCGCCTTCATCTTCATGACCTACACGATGAGCATGGCGGACAGACGGCCGGCCCGTGTGCACATCTCGCGCGCGACTGGCAAGCTTTACACCTCGGACATGGTGCCTTGTGAGTCGCAGTCCTTCCCCTGCCTCTCGCGCTACGGCTGCTCACCATCACTTCGCTGCAGCGATCGTCCCTGGAAAGCCCGAGCTTGTCCACAACGAGCCGGTACCCTTCCGCTTCACGCCGAACATGCAGCGCTTCATCGGACCCCACGGCGTCGAGGGTCTCTTGACGAGCTCACTCATCGCCATCGCCGGTGCCCTCACCGAGTCCGAGTACGACCTCGAGCATCGCCTCTCCATCTTTGTCCGGGAAGAGATCAACACGTACGCCTGTCGAGCAACTCCGCCAATGCGTATCTTTCGCTGACCCGCCTCGTCTCGCAGCTGGTTCACGATGAGCAAATCGGATCAGCGCACTCACCTTCGCGAGTACACGCTCTCCGCCATCGACGGCATTGTCAGGAAGGCCAAGGTCGTCAGCGCCCAGTACGAGCGAGCACGCCAGCCATCGTCGGTCGTCCCCGTCTGCCAGTCCGTCGTCGAGCTCCTCATCATGGCGAGCAACCCGGCCAATCTCTCGAAGACGGACCCGCTCTTTGTGCCCAACATGTGAAGAGGAGTAGGTCGTCGGAAGTCTTGTTGTTTCTCGCGTTCTTTTCATTTCTGTCGTTCGGTGATACCCTCTGTTCCCCTGTCTTGTTTACCTGTCGATACCACAGCACGAAGCTTGCAAAGCAAAGTAGAAGTCTTAGCCACGCCAAGTCACGGAGAGAGCTGGCGATCCTCTCGAATCCGTTGACGGTCGCGACCGTCCTTGTCACAAGCGGATGCAGGTTCATAAGCTGTGTGGTTACTCTAGAATGCTGCTGGGACCCTGTTGGGTGCGTAAGAAAACAGTCAGCGAGTGGGAGCAAACGAGCAAAAGGTTAGACGCACCCGTTCTTGCGCGAATCCGACGCAGCTGCGAAGCGATCCAAGTCAGCTTGCAAAGCGCGATAGTCCGACGCTCAGACGCACCGAAGAATCGCCCATCGCGGTCGCGCATAACTGCCTGGACTTCGGCGATGCCTAGGTTGATGTCGAAGAGCCTGCATCGATAGCGATGTTAGCGGAGCTTGGGGGGTGCGAGGGCGCACTGAGCGTACGTGACATCGTGCCCTCGAGCTTTGAGCTCCTTGACGAGATCTGGTCGGAAAGTCGACTCGATCGAGACCTACGAGCGAGAGCGATCAGTCGGGCGATCTTTCCGGATGCACAGGCTCCTACGCACGTAAGCCGGCAGCAGCTGATGGTGCACCCGAGGCGCCTCTACAGCGCTCGACAGATCATGTCCCCAATCGAGGTTGAGGAGCGTCTGTGCGACAGCGCCGAAGATGCGCGAGCCGCCTGATCCGCCGAGCGAGAGGTAGACGTCGTCCGAGTTGGCGTGATCCATAATCAGCGGCGCGATCGAGGAGAGGGGCCGTTTGCCGCCAGCCGGGTAGTTGAACGGCGAGGCTGGGGGAAGGAGGAAGCGTCAGCAGAAGTTTTCATCGCTCCGCCTTTGTCAAAGTCGACTCACGCCTCAAGCCGAACGCATCCGGCAATCCAGGAGTCGCGAAATCGTCCATCTCGTCATTGAGGATGATGCCCGTCTCTTTGTCCATGAGGCGCGATCCAAAGATGAGGTTGACAGTCGTGGTAAGCGCGACGGCACCGCCCCACTGGTCGATGACGGAGAGGTGGGTCGTGCCGTGGTCTTCTTTGATGTCGAAGCGGGGCTGGTAGTAGGAGAGCTTGTGCGTACGGTCCTGCGGAAGAGAAGGCCGTTAGCGCGTTTCTGCGGAGTTGTGAGCGACGCAACGCACGTCGGTGATATTGCCACGGACAGCATCGGCGTACTTGCGAGTCGGAATCTCGGCGAGCTTGGCGGCGTTGTCGACGAAGGGCGGGTCGCCGACGTTTGTTCGGGCGGCGAAAGCGACTGCGCAGAACTCCGGTCAGGACAGATGCGCTTAAGGATTGAGCGAGGGTGAACGCACACTTCATAGCCTCGATGAACCTGTGCTCCGCCAGCCCAGTCCGTCCGGCATCGACAAAATCCGCGTACCCGTCGAGGACATTGAGAAGCATGCGGATTATCGGTCCACCCGAGGGGTAGCTGCCCGTGTAGTACTTCCTGCCTCGATAGGCGCCCTCCTTCGCTCGTCGGACGACAGCCTTGTAGCTGCGCATGTCGTCTTTCGAGAGGATCCCGCCGTCCTTGCGAACAGTCTCGACGATCCGGTCCGCAATCTCGCCCTCGTAGAAGACGTCGGCTCCTTCCTTCCCGAGCTTCTCCAGCGTCCGAGCATACGCCTCGCGCCGGACGATGTCTCCCTCCTGGAGGAACTCGTTCCCACCCGGCCGCATAAACATGGCGCGCCAATCCTCCTCATCCTTCATCCACTCGCTGATCGTCGGGCCCTCCTCTCCTCCACTCCACCGCGCATTCAACCGCCTCTGCAACTCCTTCCCAACCCTGAACTCGCGCGCAAGTTGCACAACAGGTCGGAAGATCCGTTCCCAGCTTACTCCGCCTCCGCACACCTCGTACGCCGCTTGGAAGCCCCTCAGTTCGCCGGGTACGCCAACTGCCAGTCCACCGACTTTCGAAGCGCGGTTTGGGTCCCACGAAGGGTCGTCCGGCCGCGCAGAGGCGGTGAACATGTTCGGGTGGGAAGCGAGAGGAGCGGTTTCGCGGAAGTCGATCGAGATGGGGTGGGTGCAGCGCGGATTTCGGGAGGCGTCGTAGGTCGCAGGAAGGCCGTGACGAGTCGAGGAAGGCGGGCGGATCACCATGAAGCCGCCGCCGCCGATTCCGGAGGAGAACGAGTTGACCACGCCGATGCAGAGAGCCGTCGTAATCGCCGCATCGACGCCCGTGCCGTTCTCCCGCAGGACTGGAAGCAATTGAAGATCAGCTCTGGCTCGGAAAGCGTACGCAGCGAGCGACCGCACCGTCTACGCCCATCCGACTACACCGCTCCTCCTCGCTCGCGACCGCTCCGTTCCACCCGCTGACCAGATAGCTCGGATTCCTCGCTCCCGGTTTGGGCGGCGGGAGATGCGTCATGTCCGGCGTGTCCTTCTTCTTCTTGCCGCCTTCCCCACCACCACCTCCTCCCCTCCCTCGTCGCCCAACCGTCAAAGGCAAGACGATACTCAGCACAATGCCCGCCAGCAACAGGAACCCAAGCACTCCAAGCAAGACCCGCTTGGCCCATACGCGCCTCCTCGCCCGCCTCCGAGCGATCGCAACCTCCGCCTCTGCCTCGGCCAACACAGCCGGATCGTCGTCTGTCGGTCCAGCGGCGAGTGGGAGAGGGTTGCCCGATGCGCGAGAGAGAGCGCGTTGGCGGTACGAAGGGCGCGAGGCGGAAGGCGAGAGGGTCGCTGTCGAGCCGTTCGGGGACGGGGGCGCGGACGAGTCGGATGGTAAAGGTGGAGGAGCGAGCAAGGGTGTGCGTTCGTCTGTGTCGGTCGACTCGCGGCCTCCGATGCCAGCCATGCCTGCGAGCGAGCACTGGGTGGGCGAGGACGAGGGGAAGCTGACAGCATGCGGGTCCTCATCTCGCATCCTCCGGTCTCGCACCCAATCGGCGACGACGAGAGATACTGCACTGGCATTGCGAGAGTGTCTACTGGAACGACTATGTATGACTGCGAACGGAGTGAGAGAAGCTGCGGCTATGGACAAGGGAGAACGACGTTGGTTCGCGGATGCGAAAGGGAGACGGTTCTATGGGGAACAGCGCTATGTACAGGGTTCTAGAGGAGACGGTGGGTGCGATTAGACGAGCGAGAAGCCGCCGTCGACGGTCAGGGTCGTGCCAGCTGCACGAGCGCGAGGACAAGGATTGGGAAGGTCAGCCTCGCACTCGCTCTCTCACCAAAATCGAGAGACTGCGACGCACTCGTAAAGCGACTCGCGTCGCTAGCAAAGAGTACAGCAGCGCCCTTGAGTTCCTCGACTCCGCCTACGCGGCCGAGCGGAGTCGCGTCTTGCCATGAGCGGGCGAGGGAGGGGTCTGCTTCGAGCAGGGCGGCGGTGATGGGAGTCTGCGCGAGCGTCACCCGTCAATCATCACGCGCAGGAAAAGTGAAGGAAGGGAGAAGAACGCTGAACGCACCTTGACAAAACCCGGCGCGATACAATTGACCCTCACGCCCTTCTTCGCATATTCAGCCGCCAACACCTCACTCAAGCGACTCATCTCGGCCGCACCAGGCTTGTTCCCGTCCCTCCCTCCCGCTTCGATGGCCGGCAACTGGGGCTGAGGGAGGTCCACGCGCGGACCGTACGGCGTCGAGATAAGTATGATGGACGAGGTGCGCGAGGGAAGGGAGTAGGCGTCTTTCGCTTCGGTTGGGGAGGACATCGAGTCTGCGAAGGCGCGGAGGAGAGGGGTGGAGCGTACAGCATCCGCTTCGTCTGCTGGTGGTCCGCAGCAGAGGACGTCGATAGCTCGGCTGAGGAAAGCCTGGTCGAGTTTTTGCTGAGTCGCTTCGAGTCCTGAGAAGGAGTCAGAGGTGGAGGGAAGAGGGATGTCGACGATTGTGGCGTCTTTCCACCCTTTCGAGCGGGCGAGTGAGCGGGAGTTGGGCGCCTGGAGTTTGTTGAGCCGTCGTAGAGCGCGATGGCGGATTCGGAGGCGAGAGCAGGGCGAGGTCGGATGAGCCCGCCTCGAGGAAAGAGGCTGCGAGAGTGAGGGCGATCGGATCTTGCGGGTGCGTAACGACGCAGAGCTGTCCTCACATCCTCATCAGCCCGCTCCCCTCCCAAATCGGGAAGAGACTGGACGCACCTTCCCCTGCAACCCCAGACTCTTCATCGTCCTCCCCCTCCTCCTTCCCTCCACCACCTCCTCCGCCTCCTCAGACCTTGGTTCCTTCCGCCTCAACAAACTCGCTTCGAACCGCTTCGCTTCTTGTGCTGGGAGCTTGGTGTGCGCGAGTGCTTTGTGAGAGGGGATGCAGGTGCTGAAGGAGCGGCGAGTGGCGGGAGCGGAAGCGGAGAGGGAAGGACGGGTGGGCGCCATGGCCGCTTGCGTCGGGCGCAAAGGTCCGCCTGAGGATCCAAAGTGTCCGCGACTGGCTGAAGGCTGAGAAGGCTGGCCGAAGAAGTACTGGTCGGGTCGGAGTTTGAGGCTGGCGAGGCGGCGCGCTTGGGTGCGGATTTCGTTGGCGAGAACGGGACACGATACGAGGCCTGGCATGTTGTCGTCGCCGTTATCGGGGGGTGATCACTGAACGTGCTGAGTTGGCAAGAGGAGCAGCGCGAGGAGGTCAAGGGCGAAGGAGGACGAGGAGGAGGTCGACGTCGGGAGCGAGGAGGCGGCAGGCATGCAGTGAGGTAATGTCGTCGGCGCCGAGCGAGGCTGAGCGATAAGTTACCCAGCAAGGTCAAGCGAACAATTAGGAGAGCGAGAGAAGACGACGAGCGAGCCTCGCAGTGGTTCGCTGGAGCGCACGGAAGCGTCGACGTTTCCCGCAGCGGCGTGTCACGGGCCGGGCTTGCACCGCTTGACGCAAATCCCTGCGTGCTCAGCCGAGCCGACGCAGCACCCTTGTCTACGCAAGAAACGCCGAGCTCGTGCACTTGGAACAGGAGGAGGTGTTGATGTCAGAGCGAGCGGGAGGAGGCGAGGCGAGGCGCTGGGCGTCAAGCGAAGGCGGGCGAGAGGCGACCGCAGGGCGTCGTGGGTCTGCACACATGTTCAGCATGAGCGAGGAGCAGTGTGTGCGAGCAGGAGCGAGTGGGAGTAGTTGCTGGATGGGAGCCTAGAGAGAGGAATTTCGCGGGCTCGCCCTCTTCAACCCGCTCTTTCTGGCATGCGTGCAGCTGCATAATTCATGCGATTTGCTCGCGAGTCTACTGGTAGTACTCGCACTGCCCTGCGAGCGAGGTCAAGTGTCGAGGACCGGGACTTGGTTGTGCCCGCCTCCCGACGCTCGCTCGCTCGCCGGCTTCCACTCTCGACCGGACTCAGCAGCGCGCGCACCCGGGCCAAGCCGACGAGCAGAAACCAGCGACGCAGATCGACAGTGTTGCAGCCCGCGTCGTCCCGCGCTTAGCCAAACCGCAGGCGCACACTCGACCTCGGTACAACCGCCCGACCAACCTCGACTCACAGCCTCACCCACAGCTCGCGAAGACTGCCAGAGTAGCTAGGCAGACTCAGACACCTCGAGATACCCAGGAGACGCGCACACCCACGCCCACCGCGCCCTTCACCCGCCCCACGTCTTCACCCGGACCTACCGCCGATCTTCCCGTCCCAACTTTCCATTCACCGCTTCCCTCGCCCTCGCAGACACACCCAGCATGTCCGGATTACCCCCACAACCACCCACCTTCTACCCGCCAACCTATGCGACTTCCGCCGCCCTCTCGCACAACTGGTCCGAAGGCGTGCCCGTCGACGGGTCCGGCGCACCCTCTTCTGCGCGCGGCTACTCCGACTCGCCCGCGCTCGACTCGTACCAAGGCTCTGAAGCGCCCGAGGCGGGTCCATCGGGGTCCGGGAGCGGAGGGGGAGGCGGAAACAAGGGCAAGCGAGCTGCCGAGGGAGGAGGGGACGGACAGCCGCCGGAGAAGAAGAAGGCGACGAGGGGAGCGAGGGCGTGCACCAAATGCAGGGCGTTCAAGATGAGGTGCACCGGGGGAGAGAACGGGCCGCCGTGCGACAGGTGCAAGAAGGGAGGGCACGAGGTGCGTTCGTCCGCTCTCTTCGCGTTCGACGTGCGGGCCCAGCTGCTTTCGAGCTCTTCAAGGCCTGCTCGAAGTGTGCGACCAGATGGCTGACGCTTTCGCTCTCGCAGTGCATCTTCGAAGAGAGCCAGCGCGGCAAGCGGAGCAACCGCAAGACAGACGCGATGGTGCGTTGTGCGCCCGCCGCGGCGTTCCACAGTTTCCTGGGAGCCGCTGCTCACGAAGCCTGTCCTTATCGCACAGGCCAAGTCGCTCAAGTCGATGGAAGCGAAACTCGAGTCGGTCCTCGCATCCATCTCGAACCCTGGTCTGCTCGCCGGTTCGGGCGGCCTCGTCACCGACGTCTCCCAGCGCCTCCCTCCCGCTCCGCTCGACTCGGGACCCTTCGGCGCCGAAGGACGCGGAGACGTCCATGTCGGCGTCGACCCAGGTGTCGTCGCTTCAGCTCTCGAGCAGATACGCTCAGGTCGGTCTGGTACGCCCGCGACTGTACCCGGCACGAGTGCTGGCGCTTCGCGTCCTACACTCGCCGCGACTTCAGGCCGTCAAGACTCGGAATCCGCAATCACTCGCCGCGAACCGATCCTCCTCCCCTCGATCGCGCAGACCCAAGGCGCGCAATACGACGTCGGCGGCGGCGTCGGACCATACGCCGAAATCGGTCCCAGCAGGACCGGCGGCCACCCGTTGCACACTTCCGCTCCGATGGCTCATCCGCACCCGATTGCCCACCCTCACGTACACCACCACGTGCACTTTTCGCCCGGCACGGCAAACGGGCATGGGATGGCCCTTCCGCCTGTTTCGAGCGCTGGAGGAGGGGCGAGGACGGTCAGCGTTGCGGGGAGCAGTACGAGCAAGAGTAGCCCGATGGAGTGGAGCGGCGTCAAGGATCCGAATGCGACGGATGGTAGCCCGAGACTGCATTCGTTGCCGGACAACACGCTCAATCCGTGCGTCCCGCATTCCTCTCTCATAACTGTCCTCGCAGTCGCTGACTTTCTTTGAACTGCGCAGTCTCGGCCTCCTTGCTGAAGCTTCGCTTCGCAATACCCGCAAACGCCCTGTCGACCTAACGGAAGAGTACGACGTGACAGCTGGCGACGACGGGGAAGCGAACGGCGTGGCCGGAGCAGGCGGGAAAGGGAAAGGGAAGGGTAAGGGCAAGGGGAAGGGGAAGAAGGGCTCTGCGGGAGCTGAGGGAGCAGAGGGAGCGAAGGAGAAGGGCAAGGAGGGGGAGAAGGATGAGGGAGCAGGATCGGGAGATGAGGATGGCGCGGGGAGGAAGAAGAAGAAGGAGCTGGGCATGGCCAACAGGAATTATTTCGCGCCCGGACCGATGAACAGTGCGTCCTCGGCCTTCTACTCGCTCCCACGACGTCCCGCTGACCTCGTTCCGACGCTCCTCGCAGTCCTCCCCCTCCGCCGCATCGTCATCGAGCAGCGCATGCCGCCCGCCCTCCTCGAAGAGAAGATCCTCTCGGTCGAAGAAGTCGTCGAGCTCTTCGCCCTGTTCTTCGAGCACTGCGCGCGCCACTGCCCCTTCCTCGACCCCGAGATCCACACGCCTGCCGCGACCGGTTCTCGCAGTCCGTTCCTCTTCACCTGCAGTGCGTCCTACCTCTCCATTCCTCCCGTTGCGCGTCACTGATTAGTCGCTCTGACGCACACAGTCTGCACCGTCGCCTCGCGGTACTATACCAAGCGCAAAGACGACCTCTACCGCAAGTGTCTCCGGATCGCCAAGCGCGTCGCGTTCGACGTCATGAGCAAGGGATACAAGAGCACCGAGATTTGTCAGGGCTTCTTGTTGCTTTGTAACTGGAACCAGCCGGCCGAGCGGTTTGAGGAGGAGAGGACTTGTGCGTTCGGCTTCCCTCCCCTTCCGATGGTCCTGTCTGCAGGCCCTCGTGGCTTGAGGTACGGTCTCGTCGTTCTCGGGATGGTAGCTGACCCGCCTTACTACGCTGCGCAGACCAATTCAGCGGCCTCGCAATTCGCATGGCGACCGACCTCAACCTGCACCGCAAGACGATCGCGCAGCTCCCACCCGACGTCGGCGAGGAGACCAAGGTCCTGTACGAGCGCGAGTTGCTCAACCGCGAGCGGGCGTGGATCTACTCGTTCATCATCGACCGATCGTGCGTTCCCTTTCCTCCTTTGCTGCTTTCTCGAGCTGATCGCGACTTTTCGCACATCGTGCAGCGTCGCGACCCAGATGGGCAAGCCGGCGATGATCAGCAAGGAGGACTTTATCGTTCGCAACGCCTCCGTCTGGCATCGTCAGCCCGGCACGATGGCGTCCGACTCGGGCTTGAGCGCGATGGTCGAGCTCCTCCGCATCGTTGTGCGTCGCAGCGCTTCCGTTTCTGATCATAAGTCGTGACTGACTCATCGTTCGCAGAGCCGCATGATCGATGTCCTCTACTCCGACACCCGCTCCGTCTCCGGCCTAAACGCACACCTCGACTACCTCATGCTCATCCGCGCCTTCCTCCAACAACTCGACCAATGGCGGCAAGACTGGAGCGACCCGGTCCTCATCTCGTCCGATCCGGACAACCACTCCCTCACCGCCCGCGCTCTCATGCGAGACTACTACTGGGACTACTACCGCCTCTTCCTCCTCTCGTTTGCCGTCCAGCACGCCCTCGACGACCCCGCCTCAAAGATCGACTTGCCGAGCTACTGCGTCTTGTGCTTCGAGAGCGCCGAGCGCATGATCGTCCTCCTGCGCGACTTTTTCGGTCCGCAAGGTATCCTCCGTTATGCAATCGTGCGTCCTCGCGTTTCTTTCACGTTCTTGTATAGTCGCTGATGAGTCGTTCGCTCTGGACGCAGGACTCGACCTTTGTCTACGCGACCTACGCCGCCGTCTTCCTCCTCAAGCTCGTCTCGCCGACGTTCGCCTCGTTCATCGATGAGCAGGCGGCGATGAAGCTCGTCAGGGAGCTCGCCGACACGCTCGAAGCGGCAGCAGTAGACGAGCAGCACACTCCGGCGCTCTGTGCGTGCTAACTCGCCACATCTCTCTTTCGTTTCGCGCGCTGACCTCGGCTCTTGCAGACGCCTCGTTCCTCCGCATGCTCATCGACAACAAGCTGAACGGTCCCCGCACCGCCACGAACTCTCGCGCGCCGACTCGTCCTGGCTCGCCCGTCCCCGGCTCGATGAACGGCGGCATCTTCGTCAACGACACTTCCGCCATGAGCGGCATGCATGGCGCTTCGAACGGCAACACTGGTCTCGACTCGTTCCTCAAGTCGCGTGCGCCATCGGTCGGGCCAGAAGGGATGAACGGGATGGGCGGCAACGACTTTGGCATCAACCTGGGCTTCCCCGCCGAGCTTGGCGGGACGGGTGCTTTCAACTTTGGCGGCGAGCTTGGCGGAACGGGCGACGGCAACCTCGATTCGCTCATGGTCGACAACGTCCTTGATGCCAGCGGGTTCTGGTCGTCGATGCTCATGCCCGGTTTCGGAGGAGCGTCCGTTGGTCTCTCGGGAGGATCGGGAACGTGAGTCGTGGAGCTTTCCTGCTCCCGAAGCCGCCTACTGACCCGCCCCTCTCGCCGCAGCGTGCTCTCCGGCGCAGCAGGCGACCCTTTCTCCGTCACGCCCTTCCACTCACGACCCGCCAGCCCGTCGCACGGAGCTAGCACGAACAACGGCGCCACTTCGTTCTCCTTCGA